AGCAGTTTTTCATTCAGTTGGTGTTTCCTGAGAAGTCTCAGGTAGTATAATCTCTGCTGGGTCCTCTTAACCAAGGCTGCAATATGAGCGCCTGAGGTCAAGTCCTCCTTTATAATAACACCCAGAAACTTAAAACTGGCCACCCGCTCCACTCTGTCTCCATTGATAACCAGGGGCTGGACATCTAATCTATTCCTCCTATAGTCCAATAGTTTTATAAAGACAGGTAGCCACCCTGTAAATCTCTATTAGTGTTACTCCTGCTATTATTGTTGTAGTCCTCCCTCTTCTAGAGTATGCTGTGAAGATAGAAGGGAACCTCCTTTTGCTGGAGCAATGCATTTTCCACCTATCTGCTATTTGGCAAGTGAAACTCTTCTTCCATAATGTCCTGTGTCATAAGACACAATCAGACCTTCACCCCCTAGCATTTGTTTAGGGTAGTTTCTAAGTGCCCTGCACACAAAGTCAGAATGCACAACCAAGTGCATTCTCTGAGGTAGAGTGGGTTTGGGTAGAGTTGGGAAGTATAATTTGAAATTGCCCTTGTTCCTGAAGCAGGGATCTGGCTCTAGAACCATCTTTTCCTGGTGGGACAGACCTAGATCACTTGAGAGTGTTCTTATTTCTCTGACCCTCCTAGGCAAGATTAGAGTAATCAGAAGGGATGACTTTCAGATAAGAATGCTAATAGGAATCTCTCTGATGGGTTCAAAAGGGGCAGTTGTTAAGGCCTTGACTACCAAGAATGTGTCCTATGCAGGTGAATCACTGGGGGTGCGAGAAGGAGCACCCTCCTGAGGAAGCATTGCACATGAACATGGCCTGAAAGGGTATCCTTCCCATGCTGAAGAAAGGAGCCTGAAACAACTGTCTATGCAATGTGTTTGTTGCTAACTTGCTTTTCAGTCTTGCTGGTAAAAGTGCACCATTTCAGGGACCCCTGTTGCCGATACCACAAATTTCTGTCTTTGCACCACCATTTAAAAGCATGCCAAGAATTCTGTAAATTTGTAGGGATGTACAAACTATGTTTTTGCTATAAAACCATTTTGAAATGTACTTTATTTTAAACCAAAAGGATTGCATAGAACTGTTCTTGTTGATTTTCAGGCACTGTATCCTGCTTGGAATTCTATGGGAGCGCTCATCTGTTGAGTGGAGCTGAGGATGGTCTCATGTGTATTTGGAATACAAAAAAATGGGAATGCTTGAAGTCAATTAAAGCCCACAAGTATGTTCTCTTTTTTCTGATATAAGTGTATTATAATCCCTAGTTATGTAAACAGGGTTCTATTTGCACAATAGTACCTGTTTGCTCCCTTCTGAAAAAGTATTCAAGAGAATCAGGATTCTCTAGAATGATGTAGTACATAGTGCAAAAAAAACGATTAAATGGTGAAAACTCAGTTTCCGATCTAATGCTCTAAAGCTCTTTTTCATTTATTTATTAAATTTCTATGCTACTCCATAACCAAAGTGAGCATTTATAATGTATGTACAAATTCATAAACAAAAATATAAACATAACATAAAAACACACAGAACAGATAAAGAATAACAAAAACTTTTAAAGACCTAACCATTGAATTTTTTAAAATTAAAACTGATATCTAAATATTGAAGAAGAATGAAGCCATCTGTGATCACAATTGCTAGAAACTAATATCCTAGTTTCTGCCATTTTGGATCAGGACTCACATGTAAGGCCTAACATAATAACATAATAATCTATATAGTACTAAAACTCTTGGGTCTGTAACCTTCAACTGGGTGGAACAGTGCATCATAGGGCAACAGTTTTTGAACCAAGGTACCTCAAATAGGCTAACTACAGAATGCATCAAAAATCTGGGACGCATGATCCAAGTGGGATTGAAATTTGGGAAATTTGTGTCTGCTTCAGCGCTACTGTGCTGCTGTGGTCAGCCCAGATCACATGATCATCATGAGCGTATCCCTGATCTCTTTTCTGCCTCCCTCTGTCCCCTGCGCCCAGTTGGCTGCTGGCAAGGCCGATGGGCAAGTGGCAATTGGCTGCTTTGGAAACAAGACAGAAATTTGAAATCTCTTAACAGCTGTGGGCACTGAGGGGAGGATGAGGAAGTGACTTGGATGCCTGCTGGCAAGGTAGGGCTGGCTGGGGGTGCTGGTGGTGATGGGTGACCCCTCTTCCTCGAGGGAGGAGTCCCTTGGGGACATGCCAGAATGGGGAGTGGGGGTGCAGTTTTCCTTACAGCCCATGGCTCCCTTTGTTCCATCTCCCCCCAGCAAAGGGGCAGGCAATTCTGCTGGTCAGCTGAGGAGGAGGAGGCTTCACAGGGGCTCTCCTGAGGGGAGGGCAAATGGCGCAAGCCTATATTATATGAGGGAGGGAGGAACTTAGTTTTCTGATGCTCCCTGCCAGCTTCCCATAAGCAAAGTCTCTGGGGAATAAAAAAGAGGAGAGTAAAAATCAACAAAACCTGGCTACCAATCCTGAAAAATACAGCCTGCAAAAGGTCAGCGAACTCAGCTCAACCACCAGGACATGTGAACAGTTCACACAATGAACTTGCTAATCACCCCCAGCAGCCCCTCGTTAACAATTCAATAGAAGAAAAAACCCTGCCTAATCCCCAGGAAGATACACACAGATTCTGACACCAAAACAAGCAGCCACTCAGTAACGCGACCCCCCACACACACACCCAATCCCCCCTTCCCCCCCCCAGATCTCTATAAATACCCACAAAAGGGTCACATCACCCATCGTATGCCGGGCTGTGAAAGCCTTCGACAATACATCACTGGGGAAGTTGCCAACAAGTCACAAGTCACTCCCACTCCCACTGCTTTTTTGCCCTTGGTCATTCTGTTTCTCTGTTTAGGTAAGGAAATATCTCTGAAACAGTGACCCAACGGGTCATAGGTTGTCTAGTAGTATTTAAAGCAGAGAAAACTAACAAGTATCCCCAAACCCCCAAGAATAAAGATCAGAAAATCTTGGCTTCACAAATTTTGCATCATCATTCTGCATATTTCAGGCACTCATGAAATATGGCTTCCAGCCATCAAAAGGTTGCCCATCCATGAGGGAGTGTCACAGTTAGTTTGTAAGCCAGGGCTGATAAGAGGCATACTAAGACGAGTTATGTATGACTTAGAGGGCTTCATATTATGATTGAATATATTGATAATGATTTGTTGGCATTAAAAATCCTGTTTATGCTTTTTCTTTATGCATTAGAGGCCATGTGACATCTCTTTCTATTCATCCTTCTGGAAAGCTGGCTTTATCAGTAGGCACAGACAGGACATTAAGGTAAGCCAAAAGGCTGCAAACTTCAGAAATGGCCTTAGTTTTATTTAAGACAATGCTCTTTCTATAACTTCAAAGCAATTAGCAAGCTGTTCCAAGCTGTGAGCATAAATATCAGGTATGTTGTTATTGTTCAACAAGTTAATAAATTTATAAGCGAATATAAGTATCAAGAATAAAATTAATCTAATATAGTATATGACAATGGATGTAAGTGAAAACAGGCTTATAATGGCTACTTCCAAAAGTATGCAGATGGAGTTCTACACCCTGGATCACTCCTTTGCTCTCTTGCCATCTCCATTTCCAACTTCCACACACACTTTAAATCTTCTCTGGTGGTTCCTCAATCCTCCAGAATAGATTTGGGAAATGAGTGTGAGAAAGAATCTATGGTAGAATTATACCTTAAACTTTAAGATAGTACATGACTCTTTCTTAAAACAAGAATGTTATTTGAAAACTGTTTTGCATATAATGAAATATTTATTCAGCTGTAAGATGTTGTTTCTCATTGACAGGAATCTTTATCAGAAGTTTTAATTTGTGAATTTGCTTGATAAGGCCAGGATTACAGAAGAATCTTGTCAAGATTCTCTCTCTCATATTTCTTGGTTGGTATGATTGGGATGTGTTCCTGAAAAAGTAGGAATAGGCAACATAAGGATGAGGTGCCAGAGAGGAATCTAATGGTACTAGCTTGTAAAAGTAATTACTCTAGGAATGTATTGGTCAAAGCCTCCATTCTAGCTGACCTTCACACAGTGATAATTCACCTGTACCAGAAGAACTACTTGTGAATGTTTATATGCTCTTCCACATAGAATATGAAAAGTATTCTGCTTTTGCAGGCTGCTTGTTAATAATCTAATAAACTATAAACATATCCATAAATACACTTTTAGAATTAAATTTAGTAATTTTGAAACAGCTGTTGTTTTAAAAATACGTGTAGACCCACCCACATATATAAAGTGCATTTAAAAACTCATTCCAGTTTCTGCACTGGAACAGAATTGGTTTGGTGGGATGGTAATCATAGATCAGAAATGTTCACGCTTTTCAGATCCCAGACCAAATAGAGTCCTACTATACGTATGAATCTATACCATGGGATCTTACATCTATTTTAGCTTAAACGTTCAGAAGAATAAGCATCCTATTCCTTTATCTGTCTTTTCAGCTGACTCTCTAGTCATTTAATAGTCATCCATTTTAATGGAGACTGCTAAATTACAGTAACATTAAATATGCAAGGAAGTAGTTGTTTTGTAGCTCAGTCTGATTCTTCAGGTTGACCGATAATCACTATACCTCTCCTTGGTTATGCTGCATATGATCAAGAGACACAACTCAGAACAGGGTTTTTAATATCAAAATATTGTGAATGCATTTAGTTTTGGAGAAACAAAATAATGCTAATGCCAAGAATATTCTACTTAAGCTTGTTCTTGCCAATTCAAGTCACTTAAGTGTGTTTTCATCTTTTCACTCACTTTTAATAGCTCTCACAGTCAGGAAGTTCCTCCTTAGTTCAAGTTTGGATCATTGACTGTAAATCTTCTACCAGCTGGTTCTTGTCTTTCCCTCAGATGTTAAGGAGAATAAAGCTACTCCCTTTTCCTCGTGACATCCCTTCATGTATCAGAAGACTGCAGTCATGTCTCTCCTTAGCCTTTTCTTCTTTAACCTGAACATACTAAGTTCATTTAACTGCTCTTCATAGGATTAGCCTCCAAGCCGTTACCATCTTTGCTGTTCTCTGCACTCTCAAGGTTGAAACCACATTGCCTATAATTTCTACCATCACCTACGTTGTGTTTCCTTCAGTTCAAAAGATGTGTATTGGTATTTTTCAGAACATGGAATCTTGTAGAAGGAAGATCTGCATTCATAAAAAACATAAAACAAAGTGAGTATATTTCTTTGCTATGTATTTTTGTTTATTCTACATTATTTAGTATTTAAATTTATTGCATCTTTAAGTTAGCTTTTATTGTCTAGTGAAAATACAGCTTGGAACATAGTAAAATATGTATTTGCTTGTTCAAAAATGTGCTAAGCTACCTTTCCCAATGCCCATCTCAGATATTTTATGAAATTCTGCTGCAGATAGCTAGCCTTCTCATCACAGTTGCTTTATTCCTGCCAGGCTAAAATGCCATGCCCAAACTAAATCTTTCCCTATTCAAAGCGTTGTTAAGTTCCTATCATGTCCCCTAAGGTTTGTTGAGTTCTTGTTATTCCATATTCAACCTGTTGCCATTTAATAGTATTTAGGAAGTAAAGAAATCTGGCATAATAGACTGCATTCTGAAGAGGCTAAAGGGAAGCAATTTCATTATTTTGTGACTAACTGTGTCCACCATGGAAGATGCTTTGTGAATGGGCAAGCCCCTGATCACGGCCATTATCATGGAATACTCTCTAAAGTTCTAAATGTGCCCACTGACCCTGCCTGCCATCTGCAACAGAATTCCCCATAAATCTGTATGGCTCCCACCCTATGATGTTCTGAAAGGCACTGAAAATTTGACTATTCTCCTAGGCCTTTTCTCAGAGTGGTTGGTGTATGATTTTGTCCTGTTTTGTATGGTTTTTTGAGGGGATGCATATCATCCGTTTATTTTATTGTTCTAACTTTTTATTATGTAATGTGCCCAGAGTAGGTTGGGATCAGGTATTCTTTAAATCTCTCTATATAAGTAAATAAACAAATAAATCATTGTCTACCCCTACTATATCCTCTTAATCGAATTAGCCTCTGTTCAACTCAAAGGTATTTAATATCAAGCAATTTAACTTAAAACCGAAATCTTTATTATAAAACAAATACCTTAATGTATGCCCTTCCTTTATTTTTTCATTTCATTTCCAATGTTATATTTAATTTTGAAGAAAAAGTCAAATAATCCTAACACGTGTAACAGTAATATCTGAAACTGTAATTACCGTATTTTTCCATCAATATGACGCCCCCATGTACAAGACAACCCCCACTTTTCCAACCCAAAATTAAGAAATCAATATTTTAAAGATAGTGCAGAACACATTTTTATTTAGTAATTAGGTAACATTTACCTGATATACTCGGTGGGAAGAGGTCGAAACCGTCTCTCTGCAGCTCTATTTCCATGCTCTTTTGCATAACTGATTACATTCAATCACAAGTGAAACTGTTTAAAGATAGTGCAGAACACATTTTTATTTAGTAATTAGGTAACATTTACCTGATATACTCGGTGGGAAGAGGTCGAAACCGTCTCTCTGCAGCTCTATTTCCATGCTCTTTTGCATAACTGATTACATTCAATCACAAGTGAAACTGCCGATAGCTTGTCTCCGCAAACAGACTTCCTCCAATTGGTTTGTTTAGCATCGGCTGAGGTCAGTTACATAAGGCTCGTGATTAGAGGAAGTCTCTTTGCAGAGACATTATGGGCAGTTTCACTCGTGATTGGAGGCTCGGGATTGGAGGAAGACTGTTTGCAGAGTCAAGCTATTTCACTCGTGATTGGAGGCTAGCAATAGGAGGAAGCCTGTTTGCAGAGACAAAGTATGGGCAGTTTTGC